GTATATAGGATTGTTAGTTTACAAATTAAATGAGAAAAAGTATACAATATCACTCATGAAACACTAAATAAAAAGAATCATTTATATAATAACATGTAATGATTATAAATTTAAAAAGACACATCATTTTAAATATATCATTGTCGTATCTTATTCTTCTTCATATTACCTTCTTTATCAAAGATATTATGTTGAAATTAATACACTTATTAAATGCACTTTTTGGTTTTTATTTTTGATAAATTAAGTTTATTTAACAAATTTTTTAATTTTCATTGCACTTTCATGAAATTTAGTTACTATATAATTTTCTATTTGATAAACTATTATATAAATACTGTACTTAATGGAAAGTACACAATTCAACCATATATTATTCTTCTATTAATCTAACCTCAACTCACCATAATACTCTACTATGAACAGAAAAATAGATAGAAATCTAGGTGGTGACTTTGGAAAGAACAAAAATGGGAAAAAAAAATTTTAATACCTTTTCATTGAAAATTTGTGTCTTGAAGAAAAAGGATTATCATGTTCATCTTGGGCTTCACCATACAAGTCAAAATGTGTCCTTAGGGGACTTTTGGTGGTAATTAAGAGGTGGAGGCATCACACTAGAGGTTTAGACTCGAATTGGGGAAGGTTATTTCACAATTTATAGTCTATTATTTCATCTCAATCATGTTGTTTGTTTTAAAGTTTTTAATAAAGTTTTTTATTTTTATTTTTGATTAATTAAATATATTTAAATTTTTTGTGAAATTGTATAGTAGTTTCATTAGCTGAGGTTCTGTCTTGATTGGGAAAATAAATGTTAATGAAAATGTTTTTTTTTTATTTTTAATTTGCAAAATAAAGGAATCTATACACATGTGGTTTTGTTATATAGTAATTTATAAATATAAATAAAAATAAAAATATGACTAAATTATTATATATAGTAACAATTGCTAAAATTAACTGATTCTAAGTTTTTCTAAGTGGGTGCTAGTAAAGTTGGGGAAAATAGCCTACACATCATGACAATAAAAGCAAAAGGATTAGAACAATTATAGCTCCTAAAATTAAAGGTAAAATGCAATTGAATTGAAGAAATAATTACCTTTTCCTCCAAGGATGATGGTGTGTTGTATGCGACATTTGTACTTGCAAAAAATTTAATGAATCTCTCAAACTTTATGCAGTTCAATATTCGTAATTGTTTTAAAGATGAGCATTCCACAATATAATTTCCTGCATAGAAGCTGACAAGGTTTTGAGGGTCTTCTATCACCAGAAGAGTCAATTGAGGAAAAATCGAAATTTCTTTTTCTTCGTCATTATTAGCCACAATAATATGTCTCATCCTTTGGCATTTCCTTACTTGAAGGTGTCTAAGCTTCAACAAATCTGCTGCCATAGAAGATGAGAATAGGTATTCCAAATTGTCACAGCCATGAATGATCAACTTTGTCAGTTTCTTGATACAAGATGTCATTGAATTGTACCATATGGTATTATCAACCATAATTGAGAACAACCACAGTTCCTCTAAGTTTGAAAGCACAACCTGCACAATAAGTAGTTCTTTTTATGAGATAAAGGCTTATCATTTTGTTTATA